CCCCACCGCCGCCCGCCAACGCGACCCCCAAGGGCCTGGAGGACACCAAGGACCAGGTCCTCCCGTCCGGCGTCAAGGCCGGTCTGCTGCTGGCGTCCGCCTCCAAGATCGAGCCGATGAAGGCCTTGGACTCCAGGTTCACGGAAAGATCCAAGACCACGCCGGGCGTCCCCGCCGCCATCTCCTCGACGGTCGGTCTGCCGCCGCTCGACAGGTGATTACAGTCGACCTTAACGCTTCATGGAAATAGCAAATTGGAGTCCACCAATTTCCTATTCCGTTCGCAGTCGATGGAGTCTTTGACTTGTGGAAATGGCGTCTTTGACGTGGTGGTCTGTGTCTTTGATGTGGGCTTGGTCGAAGGCCGAAATTGGTGCATTTTGAAGCTAATCATTTCACATATGTTCTGTTGATAAAGTTGTAGGCGAACGGCGATTCACAACTGCATCTCGTAATAACTTTGCGGTCCCGATGACTCATTCAGGCCCAAAGACGTGGCGGCGTCCGTCCTGAAGGACGCCAAGGCCAAAGACGACACCAGCAGCGACAGCGAGGACAAGATGGCCTCCATCAACAAGAACCTGGCTTTGTGCAAGCGCAAACCCGAGCCGCTGATGTTGGACGCGGCCGAGGTGGTGGAGAAGCGCAAGAAGGGGCGGCCTCGCAAGGACAAAATGGCGCCGCCCATCATGAGCCAGTCCTTCACGCAGGTAAGAAAAAAGAAATAATAATAAATGACAAAGTAAATATCGCGCCATACTGACTGCCGCTAATGATTTATTTTGTGCGCTTTAGCTCATTTCTCCTCCTGAGCGGGAGCCCATTAGGGCGGCGTCCGTGGCGGCGCCGCCCACTCCGGCGCCAACAGCCGCCCCCAAGCTGCCGACGCCCAGCTTACAGAAGGCCTTCAACATGCAGGTGACAAAAAGGACGCCTCATTCGGGCGTGTCCGGGTCTTCCGGTGCGTGTGCGCGCCCGCATGCATGTGTCTGCGCTTGCGTGTGTGCAGGTGAGCGTGGAGCCGGCGGTCTTCCTGGAGGTGGAGAACGAGGTGACGTCGGCGGCCGGCTCCAGGCTCAGTCAGCTGCGGTGCTCCCGAGACGGCCGCGAGTGGAACACGCTGCTGCCCGCCTCCGTGGTGGCGGCAGCGGGGAGCGGGTAAGCCTTCGGCCCCGCCGGCCGGCCGAGCGCTGGGACGTCACGTGACCCGTCTTCCTTTTCGCGGTGGTCGTCCTCAGCGACGTTCTGGCCGTGGCGTGCCAGGACGGGATGTTGTCGGTGTTCTCGTCCTGCGGCCGCCGCCTCCTTCCGTCCATCCAGTTGCCGTCGGCCGTGTCCGCCCTCAACTGCTCGGCCCACTTCGTCATGGCGCTGACCGCCGGGGCCACGCTTTCCGTCTGGTCAGTTCCGATCTTGATGTCCGCATGATTGGGATGCGGTTGAAGGCGGAGGAGAGTCTTTGATGCGCGTGCGTCATTGACGACATCAATGATGTTGTGACGTGTTGCACTTGTGGGCCAAGTGTGAGTGTGTGTTTTAGCCAATGGCTAACGATGTCTTTGCTGTCCCGATTGGTGTCTTGGATGTGTTCTGTGAGTGAGATGCTGTGTGGTCGAATGAGTCTTGAATCCTGCTCGCCCGATGGGGTCTTTTGTGAGGGAGGCACCTGGAGAAGGCCCAACTGTAGATTGTCGATGGTATCCTGAAGGCTTTGCCTCGTGCTCTGCGACATCGCTGTGCTCGTGACCCCTGTTTGTTGAGAATGTCTTTGATGTCTTGTTTGATGATGTCCCCGTTTTGTGCTGACCCGCAGGGACGTCTATAAGCAGAAGGCTCTGGTCAAAAACGAGTCCCTGACCGCCATCTTGTCCGGTGAGGGCACACCCGCTTCTCGTTTTGTGCCTGACACGTTGCCCGGTTTTGTTGACGCGTGGCTGTGCGGGCAGGTTCGGAGGTGACGGTGTCGCAGTCCCTGCTGACTCAGCAGGGCGTCCCGGTCATCGGCCTGTCCAACGGCAAGTCCTTCTGCTTCAGCTCATCCCTGGAGACGTGGTGAGCCGCAAACACCGGCCCCTTAGCCACTTGACATTGTTAGCCGATCGCAAAGCGCCTCGCAACACCCACGAAGGAGTGTCCTCCTCTCGTGTTGGGGATGCTTGAGGCGCGTGTGTGTTTGAAAAAATGGTGTGTGTGCGTTTGCGTATCGCGAGTTGGTCACGCGTGAGCCCCGGCCCGACTGACTCTCATTGGCCGTCACGCTCAGGACACTGATCGCCGATCGAGGAGATTGTCTGGTCCAGTGCGCCGATTTCCGCAGTTGCCTCCCTACCCAGGATGCAGCTGGCTGCTCCTCGGGGCCTCTGGCCACCCTGCAAGGACGCAATCTCAAGTAAGGGCCTCTCGGAAAACCGGCGTGGGCGGAACCAAAAGAAAAGCCAAAAGTCAGACGACTTGTTCTCGGTCTCCCTCGTGTGTCCCCGTGGCAGCGCCGGCCGCATGGCGTCGCGCCTGTCGGCCGCCCCGCACCACCTGCAGCAGAGCATGACTTTGGCCTTCCTGGAGAACCAGCTGGCGGCGGCTCTCGCGCTGCGCTCGGCGCCGGAGTATCGCTACTGGCTGCTCATCTACGCGCGCTTCCTCGTCAACGAAGGTAAGGAAACGTTTTCGTTTGGGTGGCGAGCGCCGGCCGGTGTTCTCCAACTGATCTTGGCGCCGGTTCATCAACGTTGCCAAAATTCGGCCCCCGAAGGCAGTTTTGATTTAGCGGCATGCGTGAACTCTTGTCGACATGTCCGTCTTGATTAGAAAAGTCTGGAGAAACCGTGCATCACAAGGCAGCGAGTCTGCCATTTTGGCTCATAGCGGCCATTTTAGTCTATTTTGGCAACGTTGAACGACTTGGCGTAAAACGTGGGGGCAGACAAAAAAAAAAACTATCCACAAGATATTTTCGGCATGGCAACGGGAAATTGGGTCGGCGTGGTCGAGCGTCTCAAGAAGAAGCCGTACCCGACGTGACACGGGAAGTCTTCGGTTTGGGCTGGAAGCGGCCATTTGAAGCTGATTTGACCCGTTTCCGCCGGGCTTCTTCATGACCGCGTCATCAAATGTCAAGAGGGATTTGAAATTGTCGTCTTATTGCTTCTCCTTTTGAGGCTCGGAGTTTCGGCTGCGGGAACTTTGTAAGGAGCTCCTGGGTCCCGTTCACAAGTCGGCCGCGACGGCCTGGGAGGCCACCACGCTGGTATGACGCAAGCGGGCGCTTCTTGTCTTTGGCTCTTGTCGCTTTTTCTTTCAAAAGTCAGACCGAGTCGTGATTCGGCGTCACTGCCGACGTTGATTTCGTCTCTTCTCTCCCCCGTCTTGCGTTCAGGGTTTGCACAAGCGGGAGCTGCTGCAGGAAGTCCTGCCCGTCATCGGAGAAAACCTGCGATTCCAAAGACTGTTCACCGAGTATCAGGACCAGCTGGAGCAGTTACGCAACAAATAACACGCACCTTTTGCATTTGGCTCGCTCCTCGACTCGGGGACCCCCCCTCCCCCGCACGGGGCGAGGCCCGCCGGCAATCGGCGCCGCACTAACGGGTGACGTCGGAGCTCGTCGTCTTGTCCAATCAGCGCTTCACCGGAACCTTCCTCGTCCTCGTCTATGCAGCGATCGTGATCATGAGCGCGACACGCTTGAACCAAAGCGATGCCTTCGGGTGTGGAGGGCGTCCACACTTCTGCCAGTCAGGAGCAGAACTCTCTCTCTCTCTTTGCCTCTTTGGTTTTCTCTCAGAAAATCACCCGAGCGGAACCTTTTAAGTGGCACTCGGCATTCGTTGTCGGCCATCACCGCCCTCCCGACGGTCACGTCGGTAACTGGCGGACTCATCAATAACCGGTGGGATCTTGTCCGTAACTTGCTATGACGCACTTTGTAGCAGGTGCTGAACGCACGCAAAGCACGCGGTCGTCCAGCTTCGACGCAACGCGAATGATTTCATGCTCGATGTAAAGAAGGGAAGGCGTCACGTACAAACATGTCCACGCGCGGCGAGGTAGGAATTGCTTTCGTTTGAAGATTTCTTTTTTTCCAGACGATGATTCCCCCGCCGCCTTGGGTGAAGAGGAAAACTCTTACCTGGCTGACAGTTTCGGCTGCCGCTTCAGCCGTCATCGGAGCTGTCGATACCTCCTGGCGACGTGTCTCGGAAACAGCCGACCGGGTCGGAAAACCTTAAAATGGCTCCGATGAAGGCCGAAGCAACAGCTGAAACTGTCAGCCGGGTTCATGTTTTTTTTTCTCTCTACCCACCCGCCACCCCCAAAAAAAGAAAGACCATTCTCTGAAGGAAAAAAAAAAACAACTATTTTAACCATAAGTAGACAAGAACAACGCCATAGCACTTTGTTTTTCTGACCAAGTGTGACTCTGTCCATATCGGATGCAGATGCATCTGGAACTGGTGCGAACTTGTCCCAACCAGACGCAAGCGCGTCCAGATCAGCTGTGAATGTCAGGGGCGGGCGGGGGGCGGGGCGTGAACGTGTCCACACCACGTATGAATTCTGTGAGCTTTTCCGCACCGGTGAAGATTTCACACCTGCCGGAAAGATGTTCACGGCTCCATATCGATGCAGTACCGAGTCGGAACTATTCCTGTTCATGGCGGGTGTGGACGGCAGCACCATCGGGTGTGAAGATGCTCCGACGTCCCGTCTGAAGCCATTTTTAAAAAGTCAAAAACGTCCCATCGTGCGTTGTCTGTTATCAAGTTGTCGACGAATGAAGCAAACCGCCACCCCTGACTGACGACCGGTACGGCGTGCGTTCACGCCGCCGGAAGTCTCACCCACCGCCCGAATGAAGGACAAGCGCTCTGGAAAATGGACAAAAACAAAGACGGGCTCCTGTTTTAGAGGAGCCGAGTCATCCCAACCTTGTCTTTCTTTTTGGTGTCAACCATGACAATTGAGTTGTTTTGGTGGGTCAGTTCAAACGTGACCAGCAATGCCCCCCCCCCCCCCCCCCCCACCCGCGAGCTACAACCACACCTCCACGATACCCTCATCCGTAACAATCGCACCAGTTTGATTTGTTGTGTAGTTTGTGAATGTGTGTGTTTGTAAGGGGGGAGACAAAGCAAGAGTCCTTTTTAAATGTTTGTACATTTTTTTTGTATTTGGAACAAGCAAAAAAAAAGAATTGAAATATTGCTTGAAAGGAAAATTAAACTTTTTTTTTTTTTTGCTACTTTCTGGTGCTTTTATTTTACTTACTGGGGTCAGAACGACAGCGTTTCCCTCGACTTGTGGATTCACAGATTTTTGTGTGTGTGTGAAACTTTGCTATTTTGCAGCTTTTGTGCTCAAGTCAAAGAGTGTACAAAGATTTGAGTGCCATCTTGGATGCAAGGAACTATTTTCAAGTGACTGCAGTTGAATGGGGCATCTCCCTGTGGAACTCCTTCCTTGTGGTTTGATGGGAGCGCTCTGCGGTCGTGCTTGGTCCCGCGACGGAATCTGCACTTATTCTTCTGTTTGTTTTCTGAGCAATCTTTGATGTTGTCATCTTAACCGGTGGAACAACTTCCTGTCTGCTAAGATGTCGATTGCATTGTGCTCGTCTACTTCCTGACCCTTACGCGGAAGTCGCGTTGACGCTGTCGTAGAGCTGAGAAATTGGAAAGGCAAAGGCCGGAACGAGTGAGTGAAAAATGATGTGGGCTCAACGACCGTGGTTGTGCACTTTTATTTGGAGGTAAATCAGGGGGGTTTGACAGGAGAAAGGTTTTCTGTTGGTGACATGGTTCTTCCCATGTCAAGTGGTTCTGGAGTATTTGTGGTCAAAGTTTATAAGTTGGCAGCAGTGCTGATCCAGTGACGCAGGAGCTGGTGCGCGATGGTCTGCTTGGGCGGGAGGACCAGACCTGATTGGACGGGACCCGGGCGGGATCCTGCGCCAAGCAGCGCCTCCATCACCTGAGCGCAGAACACACACACACAAAAAAATAAAAACAATCGCAAATCACAGGTGGGAAGCTCTGAGCGGGCTTGTTTGATTGCCTCACCTGTTGCCGCGGAAACCATCTGGCCTCCTCGATTTCGCTGCGGTCCACTACGATGTCGGTTGCCACGGCGATGCACAGGCAGCCAATCATGAGCTGCGAGGGCATGGGCCAGGGCTGACAGGAAACGTAGCGGACGGCGCCCACCAGCACGCCGCTCTCCTCGCAGACCTCGCGCCGCGCCGCCGCTTCCAGCGTCTCACCTGATGTCACTTCCCGTCAGCGTCACTTGCCGTCGTGTCCGCGGTTGTGCGCGGTGGTGCGCGCCTACCGGGTTCGATGAAACCGGCCAGGCAGGAGAACATTCCGGCGGGGAAGACGCTCTTCCGGCCCAGGAGACACTGGTTACCGTCGGGGTGGACCACCAGCATGATGACCACGGGGTCTCCAAGGAAGCAGAGAATGTGAGCATACATGCGTGTCATCGTTTTTTTTTTTCCCCCCTTTAGTGCGTGCGCGTGTACCAGTACGTGGGTAGCACGTGTTGTGTACCCCCTTGTTGCTGGGGCACTGTTGCTTCCGGCAGCTCCTCTTGTGTCCTCCTTCCTCGGAGACGGTGGCGCTGCCGCACGTGGAGCAGAAAGCGTAGCGTTGGTGCCATGCCAGCAGGGCGCGGGCTGGAGCCAGCACGCCTGAAACAACAACAATGAGATGAGAACTCGTCGGTCGCCCGATGTGTTCTTGTGAAGGCCACCGAGTTCTCGGTAGGACACGCCCCTACGGTGATAAGAATTGGCTGCCGCTTTCAGGCGTGACCGCCTCCGGGCCGGCAAGTGCCTTGACCGTGGCAACGTTGCTTTTTATTGAGCCGAACCTACCGGCGTCCTCGTGGGTGAGGTGAAGCAGGTCCCGGTGCGGCGTCGAGGCGAAGGAGCACTTCTGCTCCCCGTACGGACAGCGGCCGAGCAGCGCGGCCTCGTCCTCGTTGCTGCTGATGGCGAACCAGGCCGGGAGCTCCTCGGATGGATTTTCCGTTGCCGTTGCGCTCCTCCTCCTCTTCTCCACACCCAAGAAGACCAGCACGGGCTCGGGCTTTTCGAGGAGATCTTTGACGGCCTCGTAGCCCAGCCGACACAAATGCTGCACGCCCTGCGGGAAGTCCGGAACGAGGGTCAAAAACCACACGGCGGTCAAGAATCATGTCAATGTTTTTTGTGGGTTTTTTTTCATGATTTGGTTTTTGACTTTGTTCTTGATATTTGAATTATGTTTTGAAATTGTGCAAAACATAATTCAAATATCAAGAACAAAGTCAAAAACCAAATCACGAACAAACACAAAAAAATAAATAAAGTCATAAAGTAAGTCAAAGACAAAAGTTAGAAATCAATTCAAGAACCAAGTTCAAAACCAAAATAGTCCAAAACAAGTCAAAACCAAAAATCAAGAACCGAGATAAAGCAGATCGGAAGATATGCCAAGAATGAGGTCAAGAAACGAGACAAAACAGTTCAGAAAATGCACATCAAGTTAAGCTGCAAAGCAAGAACCCGGTCAAAACACTCTAAAAACCAAGTTAAAAAAAAATAAAGAAAGTGAAGAAGCAAGTTGCGACCTGCTGGTCCCGATGCAGCATGGGGCTGAGATCTGAGAAGAGCAAGAAGACGGAGGCGGGATCTTTCTTCTTGGCCTCCAGCCACGCAGCGTCGCTCCGCTTGGCGCTCAGGCGGTCCAGCGGCTCGCTCCCAAAGTAGTTTTCCACCCCGGCGCCATCTCGGTCACCCAGGAAGGCGGAGACGTGCTCGTGACCCCAGAAGGCGGCCACGTCGGACGCACTCTGACCGCTGCTGTTCACTCGACTCTTGTCGCTCCTCCAAACAAGAACACGAAGAAGCAGATGCCCCGTTTGAGCATGCATTTGAAGGAGATCGCTTCATCCCGAACGCAGCCAATTGTTATCGGAGGGTGTGCACACTTGTGCAAACACATCACAGGTCACATTCATGGTGGGAAATGTTTGCAAAATGATTTTTTTTTCCTCCCCGCTGTGCGTTGTGTCTACCCGTGTCGGAGCAACGTTTGGACCACGCCTGCGTGTCCGCTCCTGGCGGCGAGCATGAGCGCCGTCCATCCTCTCGGGCCGGTCCGCTCCAGCAGAGACGGGACGGCGGACAGCAGGGACGTCACCTGAGCTTGGTCGCCGCGAGATGAGGCGTCCAGGAACTTGGCCACAACTTCCTCCTCGGGCACGCCGGACATTTTGCCTGCAGACAGGACATCACACCTGGAGCATCTCTTGAGATTGACACCTGTCATCCTTCAATATTTTCATTGACAGATTGATTTGAAAATATTTGACCTTCAATCGTGTGTTTTCGTTTGATTTGTCAGATTTGATATTTCGTACATCGCACTTTAAATTTCCGTATTTATGGACAAACTGACATTTTGTCTTTTTAATTTTACAAAATTAAAGAAAACAATTGTAAAAAAAAATGCATGGGTGTAATATTTTAATCGCGTCATTAAAATATGTATTTTTAAATGATTTGACTCGGGAACTGAAAACATGAAAGAAACAGGGAGGAATTGAATGTTAAAGTACTTTAAATAATCAACTGTTTTGATTTGTACTTTTATATTACGACCGGGAGTTCGAACATCCGCGGTCACCTTGCAACAAGCACACGAAGGTGAAAGTTTCCATGGAATAACGAATATTCTGTCAGACATTTAAAACTTGACGAGGTGAAACGCAAATCTTCCTCATTTTTGTCCTCATGTGCTGTACTAAAAGGAGGCCAAGCTAACTCGCTCGCTGTTACCGCGTTGAGAAGCTAAAGCCAAGTGAGCGTGTGAAAGCAGAATAAATATTAAATGAAGGTTAATGCTGTTCAATAATTCACGGGAAAAGTCACCTGAAACCGTCGAACAACAGTACGAGCTCGACGATCGCCCTGTTGCATGACGGGTGACGTCAGGGCGAGGTGCATTCAGGTGCACAGCCATGAGAAGGGACACCTCAAAGATACCTTGACTTCAAGATTCTTGATGAATGTAGCGCTCTCGCAACGGCTGCATCTGTAACAGGTACGAGCTCCATTTGGTCCTTGTTTGATGATATTTTTCATGTATAAAGGATCAGGAGTGACTTTTTTTTTTTTTTTACCTCGACAAATGATTATAATACTGTACCGGTTTCTTAACACTCAAATTGACAGTTGTAACTGGACTTGGAAATTTCCGAGGTTATTTGAATGCATCGTTGTGCTGTCGAACGCAATAAAGTACGTGTTTTTAATCATGTTATTGCTTAAAGTTTTATTTTTTGATTCGAAACGTCAACCTCCGACAAGAATATCGGATCTGGAAGGAAATATGTACGCATTAAAAAGTCGAAACTTGTTACTGATAGTGGATTGTCCGAAGAAACTCGATTGCAACGTTACTAACTTCGGTTTTTGAATAGGAGTGTCAGTTTGATAAGAATTTAATCGCAATTACGTCATAAAAATCTGAAGAGAGGAATGTCGGCTGAAACGGATGAAAACACAAAATGTTTCGCCATTATTGTTGCATCCCGACCGTTCAGAAATGGTTTCAAATTTAGCTGGTCAGCCACACTTTTTGGGCGCATGTATCGTTTGTTTGTGGTTTTACTTAAAAGATTTGACTCCAAGACAACTGTGTACTTTGTAGTTTATTTATTCCACAATGTTAAAAATATAACATGACAACATAGGCACACATTCTTTCTCCAATGCAACTTTGATTCATGTAAACAAACCGTTAAATGTACATTTGGTCAGTTTGTTATTACAAATAAATATTTTTTTTTCAAAAAGCGGACAAAAACACAGCAAGTGATGCTAAAATAAAGGTTTGACTTTCTGTGTGTGTGTGTGTGTGTGTGTGTGTGTGTGTGCGCGCGCGTGTGCGTGTGTTAGGAGTAGAACGTGAGCACGCTCTGGTGGTTTCCTCGCACCAGCAGAAGAGGAGGAAGTTCCTTGGACAGCGTTTCTAGCCAGCACATGTAGAGGGCGCTAGAAACCACGCCCTTCCTTGCCAGCGGCATCGTCCTGATCAATCGCAAAAGGAGCGGACACTTGATTAGGGATGCATAATTACAATGACTCAATCGTTATCATAATAATGCTGTGACTGACAAGTGCTAAGGAGTATCAGAACCCAAAAGTAAATTGCTTTATGACAGTGACGTCAATTTTCTACCCCAAAATAATAATAATAATCATAATGATGATGATGATGTTTAGAAACAGTCCAATATACTTGTTGGGGTTTGCAGTCATCGAAAGAAAACTGTTTCTGCAAAAGCAGTTGATTTTCCGAGAATATGAATTGGATTACATCAATTTCTGAAAAATTTCCGGGGGGAGGGGGGTTGTTTTCAAGCAAAAGTGATGACATTCAAATCACAGTATGATCCATTACCAATCTGGGGGGAGATTGTCCATTTTTTTTCTTTTAAAGTGCATTTTATTGGATAAGCGGTGAAGAGAATAGATGGCTGGATGGAGGGAATTTTTCGAGATCAAAACATTTTTGAAGCAGTCAGATTCTTTTCAGCACATTCGGAGTTTGATCTTTTCGAAAAAGAAAACGACGGACGAGATTTGCTTTTTTTTTGTTCTCGTTTGTCGTTTAGATGTTTGGAGACGTGAAGTTTCCTCACATGACGATGAGCTTGGCGTCGCCGGAGTGTTCCTTGAGGAGCTCGTTGAGTCGAATCTGCCGATTGCTCTGAACACAAACGTCGCCACACGGTTGTCGTCACAAGCTAGGAAGGCTGCGCGTGTCGCGGACGTGCTCGGCGTGGTGTCGTCACCTTGGCCTTGTAGAGCTCCAGCTCGTTGTCGGTGATCCTCCAAGGCTCCTCGGCCTTCAGACGCTCAGCCGCCTCCTGGTCCATGTCCTCCTCCTTCAACCTGTACGACTCCACCAGGGCCTTGAACCACAATTTACTACGCGCGCGCACACGCGCGTGCGAGCATTTAGTGGGGGGGGGGGTGTTGTTGTGTATGTGTGCATACGTACGTAGGTGTGCACATGTCTCCATTGTAACTTACTTGTGTTTCTTGGGTTTGGTGTTGATGTCTCCTAGGACGTTGATGTCGGAGAAGTCGATCCGAAACCTGCTGAGCAGCGTCGCCATCCTGTTTGCGTGCACACACACACACGCACACGCGTCAGTGTGCTCCCCCCC